GGGGGGGGGGGGGGGGGGGGGGGGGGGGGGGGGGGGGGGGGGTTGTGATGAGGTTTGATCAAATTTATAGGGGGAGAAAATCTGACCTGGTCAGGTGCCTATGAACATCAAATATAACCACGAGAGTATCGTATAAGTTCACAGAACTCCATGCACTTTCATTGCGGACTTTGACATCATTGCAAGGAAATCCATTTTTCTTTAACATAAGTCCCGGAGTATCAAAGAAACACTGTGATCATTAGAATCAGTTAACATTTTCACTAAATACATAAAATACATAAGACGTACAGTTGATTTCTATACTAGCATAGAATGTGAACTTTCTTGCTTATAAAAGATAGAAGATGTAAAATGTGAATATAAAAGCTTAATCAGATGAGTAAACCAGTTCTTTTTAACATTCCATAGAATAATTCCGACTCTTGCATCATAGGAGAAGATCTGCTAAAACCTGAGGCGCCCAAACCTCCAAACTGAAGTTAACCCTCCATGTTTAGTAGAGTTTAATTAACTCAGGAGAAAGTTGAGCTCAAACATGTAGAAGGAAGTTTAACCTATAAACTACTAAAAATGATAGGAACCACAAATGAAAGTTTAAGAGCAATCAGAAAAAAAAGAAATGCTATAAGATTTTATATAGTCTTGTACCATAAACAAAGGCAATGACCCTACACTCAATAAGCAACCTCACAAATTTAGAGATACAGAAGTACAGAGAATAAGTAGGCTGTGTCATCAGGCCATGTTCTGCTTCCTTTGGCAACAATACAATTGACTTAGTATGATGAAAAATTATGTACACAGAGAACAACTATAATAAATGTCTAACCCATGGAAATATCTATGAAAATTGTGCATGGTTATAAAAGTTGGAAGTGCGCTGTGAATAGAAGCATCTACAAGCCTGTAAATGAATTTAAAAGCGGAAGTGAGGTACACACATTCAGTAACTAAATAAAACACATACAATTTGGGTATTTCCTCTTGTCATAACTCCCAACACCTCATGAGTAGTCGTATGTGTCTTCCTCGAAACAGCAGAAACCTTAGTCCCCACCTATGACATAAAATGGGCAGAAATAGTGTGTTCAGAATGTATTTGTTTAAATGATTTCTCTTGAAAACTTAATCCACGTGCATCTTCAGGACCGAAAATGTCCAACACCAAACACTAAATCCATAGATCATAAAAGTTGAATTCCTGAACTTATCCACCATAAAACATGAATAAAAAAAGTAAGACTTCTTAACCTAAAAAATCAACAAATTGAGCACACAAATGACTTTGTAAAAAGAAAAGTAAAAATACTGCAGAAATCAGAAAGAATAACAACTTCATTAGCAAATTATCAAATCTGATTCGTGTTCCCATATTTTTCATGGAGTAGGTTCCAAATTCAGACTCAGATAAGAAAAAGAAACAGACCATGCAATTAGTGAGAGCAGATTTTCCAGCATTTGGAGCCCCAATAATACCAACAGACAATGACTTCTGATCCTCCTCCTTCACCTCCCTCGGATCCCCTTCCTCCTCCTCCTCATCTGGCTGCTCCAATGCGGCCTCAAGCAGTGACTTGGCGAGTATGGCAGCTCTCTTCTTCTTGTCCTCTTCTTTCTTTAACATTCTCAAATGCTTCACATCTTCCCCAAATACTTTACTTCTCACAGTATCCCTGTACTTATCATCCCACGTGGACTTTCTTTCGGACCCAGAATCGTCGCTACTATTACCCCTGTTCAAATTCAGGTCTAAATCATAATGAGAACTGTCAAATACTGATGCCTCGTCATCGTATTCATCTGTAATAGCCGTAACTGGGGATTCATCGTGCTGAGGTTGAGCTGAGTAGAAGCGGCGTAAAAGAGCAGAATTGAAGTGGGTTTCCCCTGGATTTGAAGATAAAGCTCGAATCAAGGTCAGTGTTCTCAGCGCTTTCATTTCAATATCCAATAAATGGAAATAAATAAAGTTGATTTACAGGTGTAAATTTTGTTGTGGGTATATCATATCAACATGTATTTATATATTGAACAAGTGAGAGCAAGAATGGAGTTCGTAAAGTTACAGAGATGGAGGAATGAGGTTTTTGAGGGTTTAGGGAACCGGGATGAAATGGACAAAGGGTCAAATTCGCTCATGCCTATCAAACGTCCGCCAGTCAATTTAATTTTATTTCATTACGATCAATTAGCTTTATACTTAACCCCGATATGAATTAAAATCAAATTTGTAATAGATTTTAATAAAAATTGTTGAAATATATGATTAAAAAATTATGAATTCAATAAAATATATATTAAAATTAATTGTTAACTTTGACTTAAATTAAATTTTTATCAAACAAGAATTT